TGTGAACCTCTAATCCAGGCAGATGGTGGGTAAGGGAGGGATTTGTCCTTCAGATTTAAATCAGCTCATCAGGGGCTACTGGTCACTATCCACATTTCAGCAGCTCACTATGGGTGGGCCAGTACTGAGCTGGCATCAAGAAAGAGGAAAATGCAGTTTTTAAATAACTGAGCTGGAATCACATCTAGTCTCTGCCACCCCCTGTGAACTTGTTATCATGTCCCTTCAGCTCATTTGCAAAGTGGGCATAACAATACCTGTCTCATGGGTTGTTTTGAAATAAGTAGAAAAAAAGAAACAAATATATTGCTAGGAAAAAGTGTGCCCACCATATCAGCTAGCTTAAAGCAGGTTTTCAGCAAATAATTATTTAAAGTCTCTGTAATATATAAGTATCTATAAATTAAATATAACTATATGACAATTATAGCTAATTTTATATTTTTAATATAATTTCTATGTCAGATACATTATATGTAATTTTATATACGTCCTATTAAATATATAGGTAAACATGCATGATGTATTTATTTTTATATGTGCAAATATATTTCTATATTTCTATGGATGGAGAGGCAGTGTGGGGAGTGGGCGTGTCTGTCCAGTAGTTCCCTTGGCAACAGCCCAGCAAGTGGACAGTGAAAAGAGCTCAGGCCATATTTGGAAGACAGCTATGCTCACCACTATACCACCAACGCCGTACTCAGGCCATATTTGAATCATCTTGGGGTCCTCCTCAGAGCTTTGGATGTAACACACACTTGGAAATTAGCTCTGGAGTGAATGAGTGGATGACTGACTAAATGAAGGAGTAGTGAACATACTCCCCCAGAGGCTGACTTTTGCTATCATCCAACGTTCAGACATGGAGCTGGTACCACGCAGCGTGATGAGCTTGGCGGTACCAAGCATCTTCCGGACATCATTCTCTTATGTGTGGCTGAGCTGGAGCAGTAGCAGCCTTATTAATCACTGCACTGATAGGTCCTGTCCATGGATTCCTGGCGTCACGCTGGGGAGGGCAGTCCATGCTTTGCTCATGGTCCATTGGTGCATTTTTCATGCAAACCCATGAACTGTTTTTTGACTCCTTAGACCAATGGTTAACAACATCTATTGTGCACGAGGCACTGGGCAACCAGTGACTGTTTGGATGTAAAAGGTATTCAGATATGTGTAGATTCGAGTTAGGTTGTAATTAGAGGAATCTAATACTTTGTACCATCAAATTTCCTTTTCTCTTGAGATTTGAAGTTATTGTAGATCTGTAAATTCTGTTTCCTGGGGGAGGGCCATTGGGTTAGATATAATTTTTAGATATTCTCTCATCCCTACACGTCAGTCAACTGGGAGGATGTCAGCAGGATAAAGGAGATGACGAGCTGACCCTTGTGTGTCCATCAAAAGCGCTTCGGTTTAAAAAGGGGGGAAATAATAAGAGTTTGCAGTTCTTATGAAAAATACATCAGTCATTATCAGTACCTGGTCAATGCCGGGCAAACCCCCTCTCCCACTGAATGATGCGTTACAGTAGTCTTTCTGTCATGACCTCAGCATGACCTTGAGTGGCTAAGGGGCCTTCTCTGCAGAAGGGATCTCCTCCCTGGATATCTGGTATTGAAAGAAGAGCCTGCTTCTGTGTTCTTGAACAAATTCCTCCAGGCCCGTCACACCCGTCACACGCCTTTGCTCAGCTCTTCTCTCTGCCTGGAACGTTCTGCCTCCAGATGTGTCCATCACTTATTCCCTCACATCCTTCCAGTGAGGGCCTCCCTGACGCCCCTCCCACACACATCCTCTCCCCCTGGCCTGTCGTTTCTCCTTAACACTCATTCCTTTCTAACACACTTCATTTACTCCCTTATCTTGTGATTATCTGTCTGCCCCACTGGAAGGCAAGCTCCGTGACGGCCAGGATTTTTGTATGTTTTGTTCACTCCCACATCCCCAAAGCCTGGAACAATGCCTGGCACATAGTAGGTGTTGAATAAATATTTGCAGACTGATTGAATGATGAGTGACAGTTGGCTCTGCTTTTCTTCACCTTAAGCCTGACTTCCTCTAAATGCCCAAATAAGGTTCAGGAATATTCTATATCAAAATAAAATAGTCACCTGTCTTCCCTGATGAGAAGTCACGAAAGGATGGAATCAGCAAAGACACCGTCTGGGTACAAAACGCCCCTTGGTCTCACCGCCATTTGTCATCAAAGAGAGTTCTTGGCTGATGGCAGAGGTGTTCTCCATCCTGGCATCGAGGAAATGTTAGGAGTGCTGCTGAACCCATCCACAGAAAAGGCAGGAGGGTTTGGGGAAAGTCCCTGGCCTTCCCAAGGGGCGGCACTGGGTCACTCTGAGCATGTCAGAAAGGCCCCAGATTGGAGGGATAGTGGACCCAGTCACATGTGCCGTGGCAGGCGCTGGCAGCCAGCAGTTGCTAGAGATTTTAATGGTACCGACTTTGAAAGCAGGTGGCACACAGGTGAGAGCCGGCCATGTGGGGTGAGGCCCCACTCTGAGCTGTCCATGGACAACCCTGAGAAAGGACCTGGCTTGGCATCGGCAAAGTCATCACTGCCATATTTGGCATCTATCTGAGTTGTTGTTAAAACAAAGGCACCCTCAAGGAATTGATGTCTGGACGTAGTTCCTTGGCCAAAGTTGGAAACCTGTGAACTGGATGGATGTTACTTATCTGTGACTCTAAGTGAGAGATCATTTTTAAAGCATTTGGGGTTTGTCCTTCAACAGAATAAGAAGAAGCTAAGAGAAGCAGAAATGTGCTGTTACACAGATAACTATACTTGTATCTGAAAAAACACAATTGCAGTTGTATCAACAACGATCTATCCTGTTCGCGTCTCCCAAACACTCTGAAGTTTAAACCCTGGACTTAAACTGATCTCATTCATCTTCTGTCCCTTTAATGCCAACCCTCACCCCCAAACCCAGCATGTACTTGTTATTTTGAAAGATGGTGAAATGGGGGACTTGTCTGAGCTGTGACTGGAGCTGGCCTCTGTCTTCTGATCTGGGGACGCCAGTGACCATCCTCTGTTCTCCCGTGAAGCAGGGTCATTCATCCTGCTTTTTCGTCAGGCTTCTCTTGGCTGCTGTTATTTCTGCTGAACCCTTTCCTGAGGCTTACAACCTACCCTCGTGTCTTTCCTAATTAACTGTTAACACATTCTGGAAACCAGCTCCTTTCCAGGATGAACTCAGAGTTTATTCCAATGCCCAGTTTCATGTCCCTGAGTGGGAATGACATCTGGTCTCCCAGGGCAGGCCCTGAGATACACAGGCACCCTAGAAAAGCTCCCACACAGGGAGCAGGGCCAGTCTCTGCCTCGATGAGGCATACTTCTTTGCAAAGAGAAGAACCACTCTCAATTTCGTATGTAGTATACCATTGTCTTTTCAACACGAAGCCCTTCTAAATTGATAAATTTACAATTTTCCTTGTGGATCATCCTTTGAAGCTATTCAGCATTGTTTTGATACCAGAAATGATCAATCTGTCTGCTGAAGAAACTTCTAAAGATTTCAAAAGGAACTTGGTTGCCGCACCACAAATAAGCAGTGGTTGGCTGCCTTTGCACCCAAGAGCAGGACTTACATCTATTAATGTATTTGTAGATTAGAATTATACTCCAAAGTCAATAACCTGAGATAAATAGAAAACCCCTGGGCGGGGGATGGTGCAGTGTTACCAGCTTGGCCGTGGAAATCATCACGGTCTTGAAATATCACCAGACTCAGTCATGAAATAGTGGCTCGTCTGCCGTCTTCAGGGAAACACGGCAGCGTGCATTGGTTTGGCCAATTGATTGGAATCTAATTACAAAGCCATCTTGTAAGTATGTGCACGGGGAATGGGTGCCGAGGTTGCTGGTCAGCAGGCCCTGCCTTCTCGCTAAATGATAAAGCCGTCGCGGTTTCCGGCACACTTGTTCCTTTTAATCCTCGCTGCCTCAAGACATGGGAAAATGCATTTGTAAAAAAGAGTAAGACACTCTAGGTATGTTGGGTAACACTAGCTGTAGTAGGAAACAAACCCCCAACTTGCAGTGGCTTCCCTTCCATCTGACACACTGGGTCTCTGCGCTTCAGGTGGCTTTCTTCCCTACAGTGAGTCAGGACCAGATGCCATGTCTGGCTGCTCTGTGTCCCCGGAGATTGGCACACCCTGAGCTCAGCTGGCAGGAGGGGAAAGAAAGGACGACATAAAGTGGAACAGTCACTTAAATACCTTTGACCCGACGTGACCCATACCACTTCACCTCTCCTTGTGCTCCACCGCCAAGAATTAGTAACACAGCCCAACCAGGTGCAACGGGGCTGAGCAGCCCCTCGAGATCGTGGAAGGAGGAATGTGAACTTCGCTAGGAAGTCGGCTGACTCTGACACATCCCTTTGTAGCCTGGTATTTCGAGTCAAGAACAGGCCCTGTGTTTCTGGCCCCTCCGTTCTCTTACAGCTGTGCTTGGGGAAGACAGTGGTTTGTCCTTCAGAGACCTAAATGCCGGTATCGGCGGACCCTGACCTTTGATGGGGGCAGGGGGGTGTCCATGGAACGGTGGAACTGCTAAGCACAGTCATTTGTACTTTTTCCTTCTTTTCACTTTCCAAGAAGGACATCATCAGTCTGTGTTCATATTACAAGCTACAGATCCCAAGAATTCATGTTCCGGTGTATCACTGCACACAGAACTATTAGTAATGTCTGTAATGAGACGCCGTCTAAACGTGTTGATTTGAAAACCATCAAAAGATCATTGCTCTTTTGATGAAGCACTTCCTCACCCGTGGTGTTGCCGCTGTACAGGAATGGATTGCAGGGTGCAGCCGAAGGCGCCTCGCTTTACACTGGGCGCTGAAGGCTTGATTCACTGAGACTAACAGTGGGCGGCTGCGCAGATGTCACTGGCGGGGACCTGCCCCCCCCCCAGCCCACTGCAGCCGTGCCCTTCTCTGTCTGACTGTCTGGGCCCTTCCCTACAGGTACCCGTTCCCCGTGGTGTTCAGCAGCTGCAGCAGGAAGGACCTGGAGGCCAGCCTGGAGAAAGGCATGGGGATGTGTCTCTTCAACCTGCCGGAAGTCAAGCAGTCTTTCGGGGGCCGGAAGTGTGGGAACGGATATGTGGAGGAAGGAGAAGAGTGTGACTGCGGGGAGCCGGAGGTAAGAGACATGTTTCCAGGTTGTTGGCCTCCCCGTCCTGTCCGGGCAAAGAAGCGAGAACTCAGAGGAATTGGGCAGCAGAAAGAAAGTGCTAGAATTTCAGGCTGCCCAAGTCCTGTATGGCCACCTTGAACAAGCCTCCCAAGCCAAGGCGGCCTTGAATGTTAACTATCGCACAGAACAAGTTCTATCACTGGTTTAAAAAGATAAAGAACCTTCTTTGTTGAAGGGCACGGTATTCTCGGCAAGATGAGACAAGAATAGGCACTGAGCTTTGAGTATGACAGGAGAAAGCCTTGGCATGCCAGCTTCAGATAGCTAATAAGCACCATTGCGCCCTCTTTGTAAGGTGTGAATAGAGGGGAATTTGAATGAGCAGCATTCACTTTTCACCAAGACCTTCCTCCCGAGTTGAAATTCTGGGTGGCTGCTGCAGCCTCCTCTGTATGCTGGACCCGCAGCTCCCAGGCCCCCGTCCGTCTGCCTATTAGCTTTCAGGGACAGTCAGTGGAAACAGGGAACATTTTTATCCAGCAAAGGGCTCATTCAAACCCATTTTCCAACCAATGCCAGAAAAATTGCCTCGTTTCTGTAGGGCCCAAGCTAACGTTAATCAACATAAAAATCTTAGCAGCCACGTTTTCATCTCAGAATAATCTTGAGAGGGAAAGTGCAAGACAGAGGGGATAGAGTGAGACCTTCTGGTAAAGCAAGTGCCCCCTCGAAGCTTGGAGGAGGTTGCGTTTAGAATAAATCAAAGCAAAGACTTTGTACAGCAGGCAGGCTACATGTGGGATTCCCTCCCCAAGAGCTTATGCAAGCTGAAATGGCTGACAAGTTCAAGGCGGGCTTAGCTCGGTTCACAGATGGGCTTGATAAGGGCTTAGGAAGAGCGTGTCTTGGAGAGCTGCTCGAAAGGAGGATGCGAGAATCGGCAAAATTGTGCTGAGACTCTGGGACATATCACGAATTCCTGTGCTCATCCAGCAAACAACTGGTTGTAGCATCTTCATCACGCCCACCTCCAACTCGCTGAGGGTTCCCATCCCAGCAGGAATGACCATAGTCTCAGCATGACCATTTCTGCAATAATTTTTGGAGTGAATAAGCGCTGAGCACGGGAGTTGCGGCGGTGGTTTCGGTGGATGTTTTTGCACCCTTGCCAACATCAGGAGTCATCAGTGACAACAGCACTGCCCACAGCCGTGCTTAATTTTGCTCACGGTGCACAGGGAGTGGTTGCTATGCAGAAGCAAGCCCTCATTACGGGGTTACAGAAACTCTTTTTAAGATTAATGGAGGAATAATTGAAACCATCATGGGATGGGGTGTGCAAAGGGGAAACTCCTTGGACCCTTTAATTGCTTGAAGTAAAAAATAAAATGAGCTTAAATTATCCATATTTCACAGGGGAGGCCATGCTGACTTCAGAATGGTTTGTGTTTTATTTGAATGCCTTGTAATTGTTTATTAATCTAAATAAATTGGACAGCTCTTCATGGACCCATGAACTGTCAGGTTTGGAATGACTATTAGCAGTCATTTACTCATATTCTGTTACAGCACCACCAGCATTGCTGCCACCCTCCCCATCAGCACTATTAACGGTACCACTGTTACTGTCTCCGCCTCCATCACCACCATCATACCCACCAACAGCATCACCACAACCACTGCCAGCATGTCAGCAAATGCTTCAGTGTCAGACTTTTGCCAGCCACTGATGTGTGACCCTCAATTTTATCTCCATCAAGGAGCCATTCAGCTGTGACAGGGTGTGCCCTATCTCTCCAGGCAGCATATTGCATTGCAAGGCAGCTTAGGTTAAATCAAACTCTTTCCTTATGTAGAGCCAAATTTCACTTGCATGTAACTCCCAAATTTCTATACCTGTGGTTAGGGTTCTTATTTTGCAGGATACATTCTTGATATTTGAAAAGAACTCTCATCTTCCTCGTTCAAAGTTCTTTCTTCCAAGGAATCTTTCAAAGTCACAGGTGAGACATTTGCCTCACTTTTTTAGGGTATTTTTCTTTGTCTGTTTTTATTTTTCAAGGTTCAAGTTCTGTGTCTAACAGTGTGACAGCCCATTTCCAGTTTCCAAATCGCTCTGACCAAAACTTTTAGTCCAGCATGTTAACCTGGGTTCTGTATCCCCCTAACTAGTGCTCAGGCCTGGAAATAGTCATCCTGCCTTGGCTTTCGATTGGCCCACACATCCCATGACCCATCAGGGACTCTGTGTGTCACCACATCAATAAATCAGAACAACTTCCCCAACTCACAACTGGAACCAGCTTCTGCTCCCTTGATCCCAGAAATAATCTCCATTGTTTTCAAGAAGACGCATGAGCGTCTTACCCCAGTTCATTGTGATGAAGCATCCATGTCTACTACCTGCCATGTGAGAGTGACAACTAGGGCATTTGCAGGGAGCTTCCTGATGGCGTCAATTATTCTTCCTTCTTTGGAGACTTGGGGCTCCTCAGCTCTGTTGAACTTCTGTTGAGTCCTAAAATAATAAATGCATTGACAGGTGAATAATTAGCCTCTTATGATAAATATAGTACTGCAGAAGAAATAGATCCTGTGTCATTAAAAAAAAGGCCAAGTGTCTGCTGAAGGCTTCCCACACCAGGCATTGGATTTACATCAACCATAAGGATATCCTGACAACTCACTCACTCCTGCAGCTAACAGGGCTGGGACAGCAGCCCTATCTCTTTGCTTAAAGTCGATGGGATGCCAGTGGCTTGGAAATGGCTTTTAAACTTAGTTATCTTTCTCACATTATCAATCCTCTTTGAAGTCAAAGCTATTCTGCTTGGCTGCATTTCCATTTGAACTGCTGCTTATGTTATTTAGTGATTTGGTTGGGGGTAGTCGTTAAAGGATCTAAGGACCCAGTCCTAGGATGGCTGATTTAATTTAGAAGTTCAAGGAAATCTGTAATTTGGCTAATGTGTCATTAGCAGAGCCATTTAGGATGACAGCAGGATGATGTTGCTGTACATTTGATGGCACTGATCAGGAATGCAATCAATGGACTCTTTAAAAAAATTTTTTTCTTAACTTTTTAGGGTCATAAGTCCATGAGTTAGAAGCCCTTACTGTCATGAAAGTTACAGCTGTGACTTCTGCTTGGCAGCTTTATCTTATTGTGTATATTATATACTCCGGATGTTTATAGAGTCCTTGAACAAATTTAAAATTTAATAACTTTGGATGTATATATAATAAGAGCAAATGGCAAATACCTAACAAGAGCATAATTCATACAGTCTTACAGAGAGTCCAATTCAGATATCCAAGTTAGCCATACATCTTCTGGATTATTGACAAAATTTTATTAATTGCATTTAGGATTCTAATTATAAATTCATTCAGAAGATGGTTTTCAGGAGTGAACTATTATACTATTACAACAGTATATGATTGACTTCATTGTAGCCAATAATATATAAATTCTTCAGCACATATCATATAAGAAATAAAATGAAAGGACCCTGATAAATGAATCAATACTAAAGACTCTACGAATGCTTCCTTCTTCTGATAATTCAATATTTTGTAAAACGCAGAAGCTTTAAGTTATTGGAGTATTTTAAAGTACAAGGACTTCGTATATACACCAGATAAATGTGTGCAGGCCTTTTGTTGAGAGCTAAGGACAAGGTTATCAATCTCTCGTTTCTTTTTGTTAGAAGAAAATGGGCACTCGTGAAGCACTGCATAACAGAGCGTCACTTCCTCTTTTACTTTTATTCCAGAGAGGACAGTCCATCTCATGTTTGATCTGTCTGTTTAGATGCCTTGCAAATCAGTGGGCATAGGCCAAAGCCCTCCTTCCAGCCTCTCGGTCATTCTCACTCACATTTCTGACCTGAGGGGTGCCTTGTCAGGTCCAACAGCCCACCGTGCTGAGCAAGAGTCTCATGGACAGAATTCAGTTGGATGCAGGGGATTGTGGTTCAAACACAATTGATTTAATTTCATTTCCTGCCAGTTTGCTCCAGGTTGAAAGGCTCAGTCTTGGAAGTGTAATGTTTGCCTGCATCTGTGTATATTTTTAAATAAGTAGGTTCATAGTGTTCCAGGGACCCTGATACAGTTCATTGCAGTAACCGGACACCGCCTCTTCCCTCCAGAGCCCCAACTGTAGCTGACTTGAATGAGTTCCCCAGCCAGACTTCCTGCCCAGGCTCCCTTACTCATGAAAGGCGCTGCTGACTTTTTCCTGAGGACCCACACACCCAGTCAGTCCATAAACTCTTCAGAGACCTTTGCTTTCTTACAGATGAAGATAATCCTCCGTCAGCCTGGTTTTCAGCTCGAGGGCCAGGCCTTCTTGTTCTCTCTTCCCTTTTGTAGTCACTTAAGGCACATTTGCTTTCCACGAGTAGCTGCTCCCCAGCACCCTATCAAACAAACCCCATTTCCATCTCCAGGAATGTACGAGTCTCTGCTGCAATGCCAGCACCTGTACCCTGAAGCCAGATGCTGTGTGTGCCCACGGGCTGTGCTGTGAAGACTGCCAGGTGAGTTTTCTGGCCCCCAGGGTCGCCCACAGGTTCGAGTGCTTCAGCCCTGCTGCAGGGCGAGCAACACAGCGCCCACTGCTGCGGAAACTGGAACTCCTTATCACGCACGTCAGTATCGTCGCCTCCTGTGTTTGTGATCTCATCTCCCTGCGAAGTGCCTTTTTTTTTTTTAGCGGAGCCATCCTGCCACCTGTTGGGCAGCTCATTGGCAACTCAGCTCAGGCTGGGAATCACACCACTGTTGCTCAGAGCTCGCACTTTTGAGCGAGCTCTTAACCAACTGAGCCACTCGGCTGGCCTGCAGAGGGCCCGTCTTTGTGCTAAGTCACCTATGATAAATTACTTACAAACTAAAAAGCAATTGGACCAAAAAAAAAAAAACAAAAAACCAGCTCGATGTTAAATATTCCAGTTGTGCTGCTGTTGGAGGCACACGCAGTCCTGTCACCAGCACCTGAAGGATTCGGAGTCCCCATGCCTGTCGCTGAGCCTCAAGCCGGCCTCCGCGTGGTCCTAAGACCATCTGCCTGCTGGGCAGAGCAGCCTTGGCTGTCCGAGAGCGCCACATAAACATCTAGATCGCCATGTCCTCTGAACAGAAGGTGCCGGCTGACCCAGCCCAGCCAGGAGGGTGGCTTTATACCTTGGCCATTCCAGCCGCCAGTACAGCGCTGGTTTTGGCAACTCCATTGTTTGTCTCATTATTCAGACCTGAGATGTGACAATGGAAGACAGAGCTTTTGGCTCAGAGGTTCCAAGGGTAGAACTTGATTTCATTTTAATTAAACAATCGATCTTGGCATCCTGCTTGCAGGAACCGCTCTCTTGGAGGACAGGGATCCAGAAATGCTTTAAAACATTTTACGCTCAGCTTAAAATTTCCGTTTTATCCCCTTCCTCCTCGTGATTGACTAATGGGGCCATTAAAAGAAACTGGCACCCCCTGGCACGTAGCAGCCGGTGGCAGAAGATGCCTGGAACAGGGTGGGGCAGGGGAGGTCATCGGCTGCCTTCACTTCTTCAATCACAAAGAGATGAGGCGTTGGTCGGAGGGTCCCCAGCACCCCGTGCTGCCCCTGCTTTGCGCCTCCTCCATCTCTCCCCGTAAAGGCCTGCAGACGGGCTTCCAGCGCTACGGTTTGATGACAGTGTACAGTTGCTATTGTGGTTGTGCCCTTAGAATTGTTTTTGTCACCTTGCCCACACATGCTAACACTGCAAGTGCAAACCTTCTCTTAAAACAAATAATGGTGTTGGTGACTAGAGATCTTTTCCTTAAGAACCAATGGGTCCATCAGGCAGCCCCCTCCCGCCTGCCCCCCAGGTGACAAGAGCCAATGACCAGCTTGTGTACGCATCAGAAAACCCTAAGTTGCATGACACTAAAAAGAGGCTGCTCTTTTGGTTGCCCCCATAGTGGAAAGGGGAACCCCAGGGTAAGACTGTTTATTCAGTGTCTCCCTCTGCTGTAAGGGGACTTGCTTTGAAGTCTTTGCCCCTTTATGTGAGGTTTCGTGAGGATGGCCTGCTCCATTCCACCCCAGGAGCACTGCTGAGAACCCACCCCCACCCCCCTTCTACCTCCTTGTTCTCTCCTTCCAGCTGAAGCCAGCAGGGACGGCATGCAGGGACCCCAGCAACTCCTGTGACCTCCCGGAGTTCTGCTCGGGGGCCAGCCCCCACTGCCCAGCCAACGTGTATCTGCACGACGGGCACCCGTGTCAGGGCGTGGATGGTTACTGCTTCAACGGCATCTGTCAGACCCACGAGCAACAGTGTGTCACGCTCTGGGGACCAGGTACGCAGTGCCACCAGCTCAGCTCAGAGTGGGGTGCTGGGGAGCTTGCTCGCTGCCGTTGGAAGCATCACTCCTGGGTCACACGGTCTAATGGGGGAACTGGCTCCCTGGCAGGGCTGGGGCCGGCCTTGGGGAACTCAGTGCGGTCCAGCGAGAGATGTGTGAGCCTCTCCTACGTGTGTCATGGGAGTCAGGGACAAGCCAGCCGTGACCCCTGATCGCAGATAGCTTAACAGGTAGTTGGACAGATGGATGGACAGAGCTTAATCACCACCACTCTGATTGTGTAAATGCTAATTCGTGCTCAAATGAGGACCCTGACCAGGTGCTGAGGGTGCCAGAGAACGTCACTGCCGCTGGAGGGGCCTGAGGGCAGCTCAGGGGGGTAGTCTGTGACCAGGGGCGATGGGGAGAGGGAAGTAGTGAGCCAGCGTTCGGATAGAAAGGCACATAGAAGGGACAGCTGGGGAGGGAGTCCCGGACACCAGAGCTCAGTGGAAGAAAATGGAGACAGGAGCTGAGGCCATTTTGGTTCTGAAAGCAGAGTGATGGACTCGTGTGTTCTAAAAGAAGCATCCAGGCAGGAAGGTGGCTGTGACAGTTAGAGGGCGTTCCTCCACTGCTGCTTATGTGGGCGATTCTGGCTGCGTGCTCAGTACAACCTGTCCCTCGTAAACCTCCAGTGACCCCTGAGGTAGGGACGATGACTGCAGTTTTACAGAAGGCAAAGCTCAAACTCAGAGGCCAAGTCTCCCCCGTCATGAGGCTGGGATTTGAGCTGAGTCCATTGTGACCCACAACCCAGCATGTGACTCCCTCCTTGTGCAATCACCGCGGTGAACAGGCCTTGAACTGAAATTCCATGGACGTTCTAAACTTAAATGGAGGCTCAGCTACGAAAAGGGGGGACTTGCTCCCCTGTGTGTGGCTCTCCTGCATGGCCCGTCTTCTGGGGCCAAAGGTCCAGGGCCCTGTGGGCTCGTCACCCCAGGCCTTGCAGTCCATCTCCAGCTCCCACGGAGAGCATTTTCTAAGAATGCAGGCCCCACCCTGTCATCCTTCTTCACCCTCCTCCCGCTGGCTGCAAGGGTGACCTCAGTTCTGGCCAGAGACCCTAGCTGTGGCAAGTCTGCTGTGGTCCGTGAGGCAGAGAGCCAGGCGAGCTCAGGCCCCGGCTCTCGGGAGGAGAGAAATCCAATACGGACCCTTGTCAGACTATTGTGGTGAGGTTTTGGTTTTCGGAGTGATGAGGGAAGTAAACTAGGGCAGAAAATTATGACTAGATATTTAAGCTGAGGTTTTTAATGTGATGTGATGTGATGTGATATGAAAGCAATGACCTAAGCAAGGAGAACAGGGACAGGTGTGTCCTGGGGCTGGGTCCTGTCATGAAACTCACTACCCCACCAGCCAGAGGGCCCACTGCCCTTCAAACCTTCTAAGGGAGAAGAAAGGGCAGCTGGGACGCAGCCCCCACTCACCTCACCCTCTGAGCTCTTCTAGCGTTCCTCGGGCTTTGTTGATGTGCTAGACAGGTAGAAACAGGGACCCTGATGTACCTGGGGCCTTAGCGCTTCATCTTTGGTCCCTGACCAACCCCCAGTCCTGCCCTCCTTGCCTGCTGGCTGGGAGGGCCCCCAGGCAACGATGGGGTCCCTCAGTCTCAAGCTGGGTGAATGCCTTTCGATGACAAACACAAAGTAGGTACTCACTATACACGTGTCAAATGATTGTATAGGCTCCGAATGGTTTAGTGACTTCAGACATCGTTTAGCCAAGCGAGGTCACCTTAGGACAGTGGCCACTGCGGCAGACCAAATCTTCATGGCACAAAGCATCCTTAGTGGCTGTCCCTTCCAGTCTCTCTCCCCTTTGTGAGTTACAATGGATGTTATAGGGCTCCCTTCCAAGGAGCATTCCACGGCCAGAGCACAGACAGCACTTGGAGCTTTGGGGGTGAAACGTGCTCCTCAGTGCCCTGCCTTATTAGAATGTCTGGCCCTGTTTCCAAAGTGAGGCCTGACAGACCTCCACAGCTCTGTCCAAGCCACCACCAGTGTGTGACTCAGCTGGCTGCAAGCCTTTGATTCATGGTGACCAACCCTGGTGTTTATTATCTCATCGGATTAGTCCTTCTTGAGCTGCCTGACCAGAGAGAGACGGCCAGACAGGCAGACAAACCGACAACCTGACTCATGGACTGAGCTTTCCAAAAGCAAGAGCAGGAGGAAATTACCTGCTTTGAACTGTCAACGCCCTTGTGGCCAGGGGTGACGGCCAGGGCGCCTGCTCTGCCTCCTGCGGAGGGGCTGCTGCCCAGGGGCTCTCAGCTTCTCTCCCCCACCACGCTCGCCCTGCGGACTGAGGAGCCTCTGCCAGGCAGTGGTGAGTTTGCCATGAGGCACTCCTTGCACATACACGAACCATCCCTGGCTTCAGGGATGCTCACAGTCCCTGGAATCAACAGTGTGGTGACCAGATTTGGGGAGTCACCTCGGGTTCGTGACTTTCTGGGTTTCAGTCTACCTGGGCCAACCCCTTCTTGGTACTTCAGATCTCCACACGACCTTCCTCAGGTGGGCGGAGAAGTTGTGTGCCAGGCCAGCGGTGGCCCTCCTTACCGGGAGCTTCTCAGAAGGGCCTTTAATCACCCCCTTTGCAAATGCAGCGTGTTCCTCTTCTTCCATATCAATGTTGTTATTTTGTTGTCCATTTCAAGGGCACTGTATGAGTTTCCTCTGGCTGCTGTAACAAATTACCACAAAAGCAGATCACAACACACATGTATCATCTTATAGTTCTGGGGCTAAGAAACCCTAAAATCAAGCTGTGAGCAGGGCAGGGCTAGTTTTGGGGTCTCCGCGCCTCTTCCAGCTTTCAGCATCTGCCTGCACTCTGGCTCATGGCCTCGTCCTCCATCCTCGAGGCCAGCCACACAGCATCTTCAAATCTCTGTCTCTCTCTGACTTCTGCTTCCATAGTCACCACTCCTCCTCTGACTCTGACCCTCTGCCTTCCTCTTATGAGGACCCACCAGATTACCCAGGGCCATCACCCCATCTCAAGAGTCTTCACTTAATCACAGCTTCTGTGTCCCTTTGCCATGTAGGGTAACATATTCACGGGTTCCGAGGATTAGGGCCTGGACCTCTCTGGGGGTCTGTTTTCTGCCTGCCACAGGCATTGAACAGACCACTCACTGGCAGGGTGACCTTCAACGGATTACGCAACCTTGTTGTGCCTTTTCTGTGAAATGGGGATAGCAATATGCCTACCCCATGGGTACAATGTCCTCTAACACAGCCTCATCTGCTCTATGTAATTCATCACATGCACTAGCATGCTGGGTGCACAATACCTGGTAAATCTGAACTCTATAAATAAGACGTGACTGTGTTTGCAGGATGCTCACAGACTAACGAGCAAGATCTTGATGAGACCTGGGGCTTTAAAAAGGCTGCGATATGGTGGGACATGGAAGAGATGGGGGCTCAGCCTGGGGGAAGGGGGCGGGAGCCAACCAGGAAGGCCCTGGAGCAGTCGTTTGCCAGGGTGGAGAGGAAGGGTATTTCCTGCGTACAGAATGACAGGGGTCGAGGCACACAGGAACCATGGGGCCACTCCAGGCAGATGCGGGCAGTTCTGCTTGTCTAGAGCTTACTTAGGCTGTGACCTGGAGAGCAGAGGTCCTCAGCTGTCACCCCATCCTCTCATTTGTTAAATGTTCACTGCTGTCCTGCTCTTGTGGGACGCTGACTCAAGAGCCCCGATTCTGCCAGAGTGACATACTTCCCACAGTTCCTGTGTATTCTTGCCTGGACCTGGAGTAGAGTCAGGATGTGACCATCACATTCCCAGGGGCAGAGGTGACTTCCTCAGCCAGGCCCCTGGCCGGCGGCGAGATGCACCGGGCTGAGAGCATTTTCAGGCTGTGTTACAGTGGGCGGTTGGAATTCGCTTTCAGGATTCGGAAAAGGAAAATCTATCATCAAGGACGCATTTGCAATACCTTGTTTCCCAGCCATTAGCAAATGCTCTGAACGCTGCGAGTCACTGAAGTCTTGCTCTGCTGGCCCATGCCGTGTGTCCCCAGGCGACCTGGCCGACTTACTGACTCATCCAGAAATCTCCAGCTACATTCAGGAAGCAGTTACCACTTTCCAGACCTGGCTGCCCGAACGCCGCCCGGATGAAGCCCTTCCTTGCAGCTAACCATTCCCTTTTGAAATGGGCTTTTCTCAATCCAGCATATTAATATTTCAATAAAATATCCTACTTTTAAACCTCTCTATAAACAAAATGATAAAAAAAAATTCAAAACATATGCCTGCACCTCCCAACTGGCAAAGTCATACACTTTTAGAATGTCTTTTGAGTTTTGGGTTCATTTGTTTGTTTTTCAAATTATTGTTGCTGATGACCTTGTTGGCTTGGAGTTTGCATTTTTTTTCCCTCACTGATTTTCCTCTCACAGATCTTGTATCCCAAGACTTCACATTGTTGATAGCAAACACGTAAATGTTATCCACAGTTCAAACTGTGCCTTGTATTTAGCTGTCTTTGTCCAGCTTAGTCTTAATCGCCACAGAGATTTTCTGTCGATGCTACGTGACCTTGATTCCTTCTGAAATACAGCTGGATAATTTTCTTCAGGCAGAACATTTACTTTTGCCAGTGTTGTTTATCTGAACCACAAGCATGGTTGCTGAAACCATGAGTTGGAAATTAATCTCACGGATAACTACACGTCTAGAGCCAGAAACATTTTGCATCAGAGAAGTCCTGAAATGTGTTCATTTTGTCCATTTTATCACTCACCGGAATCTAGCGTCACCTGATGGATGCAGCGTGAGCTAGCCAAACCATGTTTATGAGCTGGTAAATATTCAGTGTTTATCTGCAAGGCCGCTTTAAATGAGTTTGGTTTATCATGCTACACCTGGGGTAGGACATTTACTCCTCATCTACAATGATGGTGGCGATAGATGGGAAGAAGTTTTTCCAAGAGCCATATTGTATAGGAGTCAGGAAAATCTCGCTTTGGTCCCACTGTATGAGAAGGAAAGCATAAAATGTGTTTTCTTGGGCTTCATTTTCTGATGAACACAGAGGTCAATTTGGAGAAGTGAAACTAAGAAACATGAAGAGAATGAAGACAGCCTTCCTTTGTTTATAAAAGTGCCTTTGTCTGTGAATATTCGTGACAGAGGTTAGGAAAATCAGTGATGGGGAGGAGGAAGCTGATTTGACTGAATCGGAGAAGTACATTTGCATAATGGAGTCATTTTAAGGAAAGATTAGATCAAGTAAATTGTGGGCCTAATTCAAGATGTCATCATGTCTCTTTCAAAAGACATGATGACATTGGGAACTTCCAAACTACAATTACAAATATAAGTTATATCACTCTGAAGATAAAACTGGTAATTAAAATCCAGCTCTTCCTATATAATTATAAAACTCAGTAGGATGTCAAAATTTCCTCTGAAAAGCTACATTTTATCTTTTGATTATGGCAAAACATCTAAGACTTCCATCATTAAGAATTGCCAGGCTATAAACTCATGAGATGTAGTAATGGTAAGAAAACGTGTCATTTTTTTCAAGAGATAGACATGAAACCTCTCGTCTTCACAGAAACATGAACAAGCATTTTTAAGTGCAGCGACATTAGACAAATCAATGTTTTATAACATCTTATGAGTGGATACAAACCATTTACACTTTTTAAATGATTGACTGTTCTGTCTCTAAGATAAATGCCAGGTGGCCACCAACACACAAAAGCCACCTGAGAGTCTTGGCTGGACCCTTGTCCCTGTCCTAACTGTCATCGGCATGTTCCAGACACCCAAGGCACTCACGAAGTTGTCTCTGTGTTGTGTCTTCACATCCATTTCCTTCACTGGTGTTTTTTTTTTTTAAGGAGAGCTGCCTCTGCTCATAAATAGAGTAAGCTCTGAGCCCCCAGAAATGGTTTCCTGCGTATCAGGCTTCTTACTTTGCCAAAAACTTGGAGGGAATGACAGCTGCTCTTTGCAGCAAGTAAACTGTTTTGTGAACTTATATCTTCCTTCCTCATGAGACAGCGTGGTAATACTTCATTTGATGGACATAAATAAATGCAAATCCAGAGTCACAGAAAAGATAAGCCAGGAGATGGTGTCCATTTACCCCCGATGCTTTGTTCTACGGAAGTCACAGTTGACTTCCTCTGGGGAGGACGTCTGAGACATGCTGTGCTTTCCCCAAGATGCTTTGCCTGTCTGTGGCTTTTCACTCGTTTGTTCTTGGATCGCATCTGCTCTGCACAGGCCTGAACACCGTCACTGTTCTTGGGGGCTTTGACAGTCAGGCACAAGCCTTGGGACATCACAAGAGGGGTGGGCGACAGCCCTACAGGAGGAATGAGAGAAGGAGGGTTGACCGCGGCCTCGGGGGCAGGTGGTGATGGAAGAAGGCCCCGATGTGGAGGAATACAGCAGCCCAGGACCCTTGTCCATCTGGCTCCAGCAGTGAAGTCCCAAGGAAGACTGCTTACCTGGCTGAGGTCATGTGTCAGCACCGACCCGGTCATATGACCTGTGGCATAGAGCACTTGTCAGACTTGAAGCTTACACTCATCCCTTTGGCATTGGGGAGGGGAGGTTAGCCCCACCTGAACCACATAGGATGGATTTTCCATAAGAAACGTGTTCTGTTCCTAGAATGAGGAATATGGGAGGAGTGTTAGATGACAAACAGTTGAACAGCCCATGTTTCCTATGCCACAGTTCGTTTTCACAGGCCCCTACTGGTGCTCCAAAGCACCAGAGGAAACCTTCGCAAGGGCACCGGCTCTCCTAGAAAGAGAGTCTCCCCCAGGAGGGGCGGGGGTGCCGGAAAGGGTGGTGCCGAGCAGTGCCCCACCTCAGGCTGCAGCTTGCTGGCACTGGGAGGTGGCCTGGGACCTGCATGGCACCATCCCGCAGCCTGAAAGTGGAGGTGGGGCAGCAGGAAGTGCTGTGACCAGGATCAAGTCTCAGCCGCTTAGGTGCTTCTGAAAAAGGTTTGTTCCTTTCGAACTCCTTGGTCTTTAAACATCCATGCAAGATTTCTCATCCATGTGGAGATTCCAGGGCAGGAAACGCCAGCCAACTGGGTGACAACAGGCCTTGTACACAGAGCTGCGCTCCACCGTCCTCCCCCTTCTGCCACTCAGCACCCCCACACCTCACGTGGAAACAACAGCAGCCTCAGAGTGTGGACGAGAGTTGGCGCGAGTTGTCGGCCCCCAGGAGGTTTTCCGCTCCGAGGTTTTCCCTGAGCAGCCCGTCCAGAGCAGCCCTGGACGCTCGGACTGTTGTCGTCATAGTACTCTCACCACTAGGCTAGGGGGACGTGTTCATTTGCTTGTGTTCTGTTTCTCCTTGAAATTTTGAAGCAAGTAGTAGTTTTGTCCAAATTGGTCACCACTGTACCCCCAGTGTCTGGCAGGTGGTAAGTGCCGAATAAATCTGTGTGCGATTGAAGTATGCAACATGATGAAAGGATGGGAGAGAGAGAGAGGGAGCGAGGGAGGAAGGAAGGAAGGAAGGAAGGAAGGAAGGAAGGAAGGAAGGAAGGAAGGAAGGAAGAAAGGAAGGAGGGAGGGAGGGAGGGAGGAGAGAAGGAAGGAGAGACAAAGCCAGACAAGCAATAAAACAAGGGTTCGTGCAAAAACACAAACAACCGTTTAGTTGTTGGTATTCTGCAACAGTGCCACTTTTCTCAAACTGCTTTCATCAGTTGAATCCAGGTACTTTGATCAAAGTACCATCGGACAGGATTACTGTCAGTCTAGAGTGCAGGCTCAACACTGACACTCACCTTCCTCACCCCTCCCCTACGCCAGCAAGTAGATGAAAAACAGTAAGAGGGCAGAGTGTGGAAGAAACAGATCGGCACTCGGCACTCGGCAGAAGCTGAGTGTGTGTGTGGTGTAGTCACACTGTGTGCCAACATGTGACTCTGAGATGCAGTGAAAGGGACGTGAGCCTGATGAGCTGGCGACTTTGCCTCTTCCCATGAATTGTGCCCAGTTTGGGGTAGTGCCTTAAAAAGAAGTTTCGGGAGGCCTCTCTAAAGTGGTTTGGAAAAAAAACAGAATGGGAAAATGAGAGGTCCAGTACTGGGGTGGCTTAGCGCACAGGTCAATGGCTGAACCTGTTTCTGATCTCAGCTGTTGCAAGGGTTTGATTTGGTTTGTCAGTTTGCTTCCTTGTTTGTTTTAATGAGATGCTGATCATGGCTGCTCGCGGCTGATGAAGGGGAACCAGGTGCAGGGTGAAGAAAGATACATGTTTTGAGGAATAAGCACACCTTCTGTTCCCTGGGAGGAGGGGAGTCTTGCCCGTTGTTAGATTGGGGACTTAAATAAGTCAACAGTCACCTTGGAAGGCAAATGGGACCTCCCCAGAGCTGGGAGTGGAGTTGGCAAGGGCAGAGCTGGGATCTGGGAAGGTGGCATCCTAGCAGGTGGAAGTGATAGGAGAGGCAGCGCCCAGAGAGGGCACCCCTGTGGGAGAGAAGGCAGACCACGGTGACAGCACAGGGCACAGTTCATGCTAGAGAAGGTGGAACGTTTTCCTGAATTTCTCGTATAGTCTTCAACAGAGACCACTATGCATACGATTCAAGAGCCCCCCAAAGCTTTGGCAATGCAAACCCAATTATATGCCCTCTGTCCCTGGCTGGAAGATGTGCTAAAAATGGCCATTTCCTGAGCTCTCTGTCTCCCACATCCCTGTTGCCTGGACAGGGTCATGCTGTACAAAATGACTATTGGGGTTTATGCCTCCATGGCCTCTGAGAGGAACCTCTGCCTTGCAAACACAGGGAGCTGTATGGGGCTGGAAACGTGCGTGAGAGCGCTGCGCTCTCCTTTGCTCCCTCGCTCATTGCTTCCCCACATTAGTCATCATCACTCCTTGGAGCCTGCTTGAGCTTGCATTTTCTCACCAGAACTGTGGGGCATGTCGTCCAAGAGAGGAAACTTCCCCTTCTCCTGCAGCCAGCCGGCCCCCTCCCTTCTGTGTGGACCGGGTCTGGCCCCACAGCCAGGCCTCATTGCCCGAGAGGCGGCACATGCCATGGGCCTGAGCTGTGAAACGGAGAGCAGAGGTTGGCTTTCCCTCCACCAGCTCCTATCAGGAGCCAGCCGAGACACAGGACTCAGAAGGCTCTCTTAACCTGAAAGCCCAGTGCTGTTCAAAGGAAGATGCTAAAACCACTTGCAGGAGGTCACGGTGCGGCTTTGCTTCTCTTTCAGGTGCTAAACCTGCTCCTGGGATCTGCTTTGAGAGAGTCAATTCCGCAGGTGACCCTTATGGCAACTGCGGCAAAGACTCCAAGAGTTCCTTCGCCAAATGTGAGATGAGGTATGGAACCTGCGTCCCATCCGCACCCTTGCTGGAAATGTCCCACGTTGCTTAGGGCTGGTCCCAAACTTCCCCTCTTGGGGGATTGTTTGTTCTCGCCCTTCCAGAGATGCGAAATGTGGAAAAATCCAGTGTCAAGGAGGAGCCAGCCGGCCAGTCATTGGTACCAATGCCGTTTCCATAGAAACGAATATCCCACTGCAGGAAGGAGGTCGTATTCTGTGCCGTGGGACCCACGTGTACTTGGGCGATGACATGCCAGACCCCGGGCTCGTCCTTGCCGGCACAAAGTGTGCGGATGGAAAAGTAAGACCCCAAAGTATGATGCTCGCTTACATCTTAAATATAAGTCTGGAAAGGGGCCCATTGAGCAATGTCTTAGCCAAGCACTGAGTTAGGAGGTTGGTTTGTTTTCCTAAATCCATTTCTTCTCAGAACGTTGTGTCTGGAATCCAGTTCTTTGCACCTAGAAGAAAAAGTCAATAAATCCTGGATCCTGGGCTGACCACTGAGATGTACTCGGGAAAATCAAGCTTGTTTTCTCGGCCCGTTACTGTTAATAAGTCATTTCTCCATTCTGGGTGTCATGAGGCTTTCCAGCCAGGAAATTACTTTGGAAGGAAACGCTATAGCATATTATATTGTTTTTGGAAATGTGACCTTGGTCTTTGGCACAGAGTTCTCGGGGGCTTGTTCTCACCTGGACAGAACGGGAAGTCGAGTGTATTTTCAGAGACCCCGTCAAGAGCCTAGGAGAGAGGAAGAGATGGGATAGGAGTAAAGCTGAAGCTGAGTACTTTTGGAGAGCAGGGCAAAAGGTAGACTGGGGTATTTGAGAGTTTAGAAACAAAGTCAAAAGTGAAAAACAAAGAAAAAAAAAGAAAGAAAGAAATGGAGATTTTTACATTCTGCCATGTTGATTTTTCTCACCAAACTTGCTCATCAGACTAAATGACAGCAAGTTAATAAATGTTTTAGGAAGGATGAGGCCGCCTCCACATGCTTTTCTTAGGGCCAGATTTTCAAAATGATTATGAAATCCCTCACTAACGTGGAGCTCACAGAGTAGAAAGCTGCATCAGCTCCTGTAGCAGAGTCCCCAAGACGGGGATCCCCGCCACACACCCTCAGCCATGAGCACTTCGTCCTTGAGGAAATAGGATGATACGTGAAACACGTTACACATCCTGGATGTCTCCTTAACAACGCACATTAGCTTATACTCAGGCCTTGACATTAGAATGACACTCGTTTTGATTTTTGTTTTTAATTAATTTATTTACTTACTTATTTAAGATTTTATTGGGGAATCAGGGAAGGGGAACAGACAAGTTGCTATCCCTTTGTTCTTCAGTCTAGTTGAGGATGTCGCTTCACTGGCCCATGTTGGTATTATCATTGTGCTCTTCCTGGGTGAGGCAGATTGGTCACCGGGCCCTGGACGGCCACTCACGGCAGCTCTTGGCAGCTCACACCAGCTGGAAGCCATTCACAGTGGCTCATGGCAGCTTCACTGCAGCCTACGCTGTCGCCAGCGACTCACAGCAGCCCAGCTCCAGGTGGAGCTGTTGTTCACCATCTTAGCTGTAGAGGGCACAGCGTCACTGGTCCTCATGTGGGATCCGAACCAGGGCCCTGCTTCTCAGAGCTGGCATCCCAAGCCAACTCCTAACCAATGCGCCATTTGGCCGGCCCATGACATTCGTTTTTAAAACAGTCAAGACAGGTGCATGTAAGCACTAAAATTCCAAGGGCTTAGTTTCTCGGTGAGTTTTTTCTTCCACGTGCAAGCTTAAATGTGCTCTGATCTCTGTTTCTGAGAAACACTGGGCTCTGAGAAAGCTGTCTTTCTCCTTGTCTTTGGGTTCGGAAGAGAGCAGCACCTTTACACTGTGATGCTAACTGGGGTCCTGGTGTGTTCATTGCATCCTCAGACAATTATCAGCTGGAATGTGTCAATCCTCCTGGCCAAGATGACCACTGGCCCTGGAGCTGCTTGGGTGGGCACTTTCTTCCAAGGGCATTAATTGTGCCTTCCACAAGCTGTTGGGATCCAATGGTGAACCTCCCATAGGAAGGTTCTACTGGATTAAAAATGCCTCTGCAGTCAAAAAATTAGACAGTCCTTCGTTTGACGCCACTAATTTGTAGCATCTTATGGGAGATAAAGGGCCTGATCTCTTGAGTCTGGAGTATATTATACACCTTTGAAATGAAACTCAACTCTTTCAGCCGGCCCAGTGCCATTGGGCAAACGACTGCCTCCACAAAGCCTTGATAAATACAAGGGAACCGTCTGTTGCCCTCGGCTGAGCATTTCTGTTGATGGTTTATGTCATCGATGATAGTACTTGTCAGTCAGTATTTTGAAAAAGTTCCCATATTTCAGTATCTGCCTTAAAGAATTCCTGGACCCTCGATTCTTGGCATCTCTGAGTCTATACAGGCCCCAGGGTGAGGAGTAGTCTATCTCATCCGCTCCTATAATCTTTTAATGGAGAAAAAGAAAACGCTGCAATACTTAGATCTCATTGCAAGCTCTAAACAAAAATCACAAGGAAATCAGTCAGCGTAATTTCAGAATTGACCGAAACTATATAAAGTGCCGTAAAAGTGTAGAACTCAGTCATAGTCACATTGATCTGAGTCCCAAAAGGTGCTGAGTTTGGAGGCAGGCGTGGGGATCCGTGTCTGAGCCAAATGAAAACTGCATTATCCTGCTGCGTCTGCATTCACTGAGAGAACGTAGCCTTCCGAAAACTTGCCTTTGCTTTCTCTTTTTAAATACATGGAAATATGCATGTGTGTGTGTGTGTGTGTGTGTGTGTGTGTGTGTGTGTGTGTGTGCACTCCAGGAAGCACTAAGACTTTTGCTATGTTGTCCTCCTTCTATAGATATGCCTCAATCGTCGGTGTCAAAATATCAGTGTCTTTGGTGTTCATGAGTGTGCAATGCAGTGTCACAGCAGAGGGGTGAGTAGACCGAACTGCCGTTTTACAGCCAGTCCAGAACAAATGAAGCACTAAATCATTTATTTGTAAAGGTTTTCGCAGTCCATAACTTTTAAAAATAGAGCAGTGTCTCCTCAATATTTTCCTCTAAAGACATTTATTTTCTTTGACCTTTCTGTAGCATAATAGATGTGATTTTTAGTTAACAAAGACAATCAGATTGAGCAGTAATGATCTTTCAAATTAGCATTCTGTGATTTTTGAAAAAGGACTTTGTCATCATCTTCAGAATAATTTTTAAACTAACACCTCTTCATGAAGAGTTTTGCAAAGCATGTCAAACAGAGCTATGCTGCTTTTACAACCAAGATTCAGAATATGTGTCTGAACTGAAATACTTCCAAAAGGGATTAAAACAAAGAAGACAGAACATCCTGACCACGTATTCTTGAAATCACATACAGTGGGTTTCCACTAAAGAGGGCTGTTATTTTAGTCCAGAAAAATCTTTAGGGACGAAGAGGACTCTAATTGTTTAAAACATAATTTATTTTTCCTGATGGGCTTAATTACTTCCAATGGACTCATATTAATCTTGATTAGCCATGCCAGTGGTTCATTTGTTTTTCTGAAACCTTTTCTACAGAAATCGTGCTCCAAATTCTATTTTTAAAACTGGCAGACACTCGCCAGCGATTCTAACATAGAATTATGGGGCTTTCATAAAGTTACTGTTGCACTAGAACCGCAAAGGATGACAGTGCCACCTCTGATTTGCGTGTGACTGATTATCAATGTGGGGCGGAGTCTTTTTCTGTCTTGACTGGACCACGAATTTCCTTCTAATGGCCGTCAGCGACGACCTAGTGCAGCCTTTTTATTTTCCTGAAGAAGCCCAGGCTCAGGTGGGGGTAGCGACCTGTCCAAGGTTCCGTGACCGGTTAGTAGTAATGCTGAGCCGGGGACCCTGGACTTCTCACTTTCCACCATCCCTGGGGTCCCACCCACACGTGGGACAGGAAACACCCACGTTCGCCGGGTGGTGGAGCAGCTGCCATGACTTGGCAACGAGTAATCTGATCACAGCCCTGTCTTATGGAGACACGGCTCACCAGCAGCACTCCAAGTGGGGATGTTAATTTAGGGGTTCAATCTCTCTGCACAAAGGGCACATGACGGAACATTGCAGGGGAGATTGTGCTGGATGGTGTGGGCAGGACAGCGCCTGAATCCTTGGAGGCGGGAGGTCAGCCGCATCTTTGGGGAAACAGGCCAGACACTTAGGTTCAGCTTAGGCTGTGCCACATGGCAACTAATGCTGCTTAGTGTCAGGTTCCTAGAAATGTCTCTTCACGCTTACCACTGAGGCTGTCCTGACTGTAGGTCTCATTTGAAGCAATCGAGACAGGGGGGTGATTCAAATGAGGGCTCGGAGACCCCCTGCTACCCCAGGTGGAGGGTGTGCCCTAACCCTACCTCCCTGTCTGTGTCCCTCTCCCCTGCTGCCCTGAAAGGTGTGTAACAACAGGAAGAACTGCCACTGCGAGGCCCACTGGGCACCCCCCTTCTGTGACAAGTTTGGCTTCGGAGGAAGTACAGACAGCGGCCCCATCCGGCAAGCAGGTTGGTGGGGACTGCATCCCCAGGGGTGGGCGCTGAGCTATGGGGAGAGTGAGAAGCTGGGGGTGGGGGCTCCTTCCAAGGAAGACAGAGGGCTCACCAGCCATCAGCGTGGGTACACCAGCCATCAGTGTGGGTACACCAGTCAGTCATCGGCGTGGGTACAGGTGTAGCCCCCAGGAAGCACGAAACCCCAGGAGTTGGGGGAGAGGGCTCCATGTGGGCCTGACACAGCCCGAGGCGTCTGTCTATTCCCAATGCTCCGATGTCCTCGCCTGCTCTTTTCCAAGGCCCCTCACTCTGCTTTGGCTGAGAGGCCGAGTCTGCCAGTCATGGTCTGTGACACTTTTCTTAGCTGAGGTCACTTCTACAGCAGACTGCCAAATGGGTATGAACTTCATTGTCCGATCAAAGGGCTTTATCAAGGCCAGACTCTGTGTATTGGGACCAAGCGGTATGAAGTTTAATGCCTTTTAAAGCTCTTACTAGAACGACACCCTCCTCTGACGTGACAGGAGTGGTCCCAGCAGCAGCAGCTTCTATTTCCTGAGCCATTGTGTGCAGGCGCCACACACAGCGTTTTATGTGTGTTATCTCAGAATCCATACACGACTCTGAAGTCGGTGTTATGGTTTCTTTACATATAAAGGACCAGAGGCTCAGGGAAGTTAAGTAACCTGCCCAAAGTCACACAGCTATGGTTGAAACACAAGTCTGTCTACTCCCAAAGAAGTTCATAATAGCGGCTATGCTTGAACGCTCAATCCTTTTCCCCTCGGGTGACACTGAGAAATGGTCCCCTGATGCAGGACTCTCTTCTCTGAGCTCCTGTCAGGCAGTTAGGGGCAGGTCCGAATGATGTCCCATTTAAAGTGTCAGAAGCATGACACAAAGGTACAGTGAGCCAACACTAGGCGCGCTGGGGACCCGGGAGCCCGTGGGAATTTACCAAGCCCACTTGCGTTACCACCGAAGCGCTCGCCTGAGCCCCCATGACACTCACACTGCAGAGGACGTCACCATGGCCCCAAGTCCTGTGGCGACTGGCAGTGTTGAGTCTGTGGCTCTGCCATCGTTTCCATGACAACAGACACAACACTGCTCTGGGGCTCAGGTGGACGGGCCCACCTAGCAGGCACATCTGTAGGACCATGTCCTGAGGAAGCCCCAGGTTTCCCTCTCTCTCAGGCCAGGTGCCCGCGCAGGTACAAACAGGACTAGAGAGCCTGGCCCGCTAGCGAGCATCCGTCCTAGAGGTGGGAACAAAGCCTGACCCCGTGTCCCCGTTCCTCACTGACGTCCCAGCATTGATGACTGGTCTCTTGCTGCAACTTCATTTTCTAATGTGGCTTTTAGTGTCTGTTGTACAAAAATAGCACGGTTTTAGTTTTTATTGGATGGGAACCTTGTTCCCCACTCCATCTGCGCTCAAGTGAGCTGATGGCCTTCAAAGGAACTGGAGAAGATAGCAAGAGGGGCCCCACACTCTGGGCCTGTCTTTGGAGTGGACACATAACCCATGGAACTCAGATTGGGGGCGTTTCCAAAAAGTCAGGGAACCCACAGAGTCACTAATTCTTCATTACACCAAGTAAGAATATTTAAAAAATGAAAGCCAAAGAGCGTCACCGCCTGCACCACTGCCATCATTCATAAAAGACAGTGCATTTAGGTGCCTCCCCCAACCACTTACACAAACGGCTGTGCCAGGCAGAGCCATGCCCTGCGCCTGGCGTCCCCCGTGGCCTGACCATGGCTCAGTCATTTATGAAGCAAGTACTTCTCGAGCATATGCCACATGCCAGCCACCTTTCTAGGTCCTGGAGAGACATCAAGCAAGCAGAGTGGCAGATGGGAGAGGGTTACAGTGGGACCTAGAGGTGGGCCGATAGGCAGGTGTAAGGGGCAGAATCTACAGGACACGGTGCTTGTGCTGGACAAGGGGACAAGGGGACAAGGGGATGGAGTCAGCACACTGCCCAGGGTTGTGCCTTGAGAAGCTTGAATGGATGGCGCTGCCACTCATGGGGCACAGGCAGCCTGGGGTGCAGCACATTCAGCTTGGGGGCCCAGTAAATGTTGGACTGGATAAACTGACCATTTAAAGATTTAGGGGTGGACTTTAGGGAACTGGAAACTAGGATTCAAGACTCTAGCTGCTCACTTTTTTTTTTTGAAGATTTTTTTTATTGGGGAATTGGGGGATGGAAACAGTGCTGGGGAATTGGGGGAAGGGGAACAGACAAGTTGCTGTCCTTTTGTTCTTCAGTCTAGTTGTGGAGGACGTTGCTTCACTGGCCCAAGTTGGCACCATCATTGCGCTCTTCCCGGGCGAGGCAGATCAGTTGCCAGCTTCTGGACGGCCGCTCACTGCGGCTGCTGGCCGTTCACACTGGCTGCTGGTGACACACAGTAGCCCATGGCAACCCACTGCCACAGGGGCTGCAGCCTACGCCGTCGCTGGCGACCCACAACAGCCCAGCTCCAGGTTGAGCTGTTGTTCAGCATCTTAGCTGTAGAGGGCAGTGTCACTGGCCCTCATATGTGGGATCCGAACCGGGGCCCTCTGACGTCCCAAGCCAGCTCTTAACCATCGCGCCACTTGGCCGGCCCTCTGGTCACTTTTTAATTAGCTTTGTTAAGAGACAAGAGAACTCAGGCCAGAGCCCCTCAATTGCCGGCTCACAGTCTGCAAAGAATGACATTTTGTCCAGGAAACCAGAAGCAATGCTCTTCCAGTGACACTAACAAGAGAACCACGACTGCCATACGTTGGTTGTCTTACTTAGGCTAAGACACACCCCTGATAGGACTCGTCAGTTGGGGAAGGAGTCTAGAAACAGAGAGGTGTGAAGGCATTCCTCTCCAGAGTGGGACCACTGCCGCTCTGGTCGGAGACGGGTGGGAGAGCCTGGATGAGGGGAGCCACCTCCACGGCCAGCAGCAGCCGCCTGAAAGGACAGCTGTGCACCTACTATGTGAGGCACACATGATTGTCGCGGGCAGGAAAAACAGATGCCAATGAATGGGACCTGTGCACCTAGGAGCTCACAGTCCAGTAGAAACTGCGATAAAGCTCCTGGTGTCTTGAGTCTCCCCAGACGGTCCTTGCCCACAGCTGCGGTAGAAGTCACCCTAGAGGGGGCCTCCGTGTCTGTACTAAACCAAATGGGATCAAATCACAGAGAGGGGATGTTTCCATGGAGATAATAAACCGCATCCTCCCAGAGAAAGGGGTGTACCCCCAAGCTGGATATTAAGTCCCTGACAGAACAAACCCCGTGGGCATTTTGTTTAAGCTATGAGTTTTCTTTTCCTTTTTCTTTTATTTCTTTTTTTTTTTCATCTTCTAATTTAACAATGTCCAGAAATCAGGACTTGGTCTAAAGAAATACAAAAAAATAAGATAATAAAACAGATGCCAATGCTGAAGACTGTGTAAAGGAAGGATGCGGGAGCAGCACACTTGTGTTGGGAGCTGGAAGGGATTTACTAACAGTTTGGGAACCGCTTTGATTCTGATGAGATTTTAATGATGGTTCCCGGTGGCCACCGTTCCCCGGCTCTTGTCACACTTGGGGACCCTGTGTGGCCAGGGCTGTGGTCCCACCTCCCAGGTAGCGTTCCTGTTTGCAGGTCCCAGAGTTGTCAAAAATGAATGGTGGCCACACAGACGGAACCTCAAACTTGACCTCTGAACAGCGTTCAGGGGTTCACTCCCTTAATTTCTGTTCCCTCCTTCAAAGTCCACTTGGCCAGAAATGTCACAATTTGATACTTCCCATATTTCATCATAACTGCCTCCGTCCCTGAGTCAAATGCATTTTCTTTCAGATAACCAAGGTTTAACTATAGGAATCCTGGTGACCATCCTGTGTCTTCTCGCTGCTGGATTTGTGGTTTATCTCAAAAGGAAGACATTGATACGACTGCTGTTTACAGATAAAAAAACAGCCATTGAAAAGCTAAGGTACCCTGGGTTTGGGTCATCTTTTCAAGAAATGGAGGTTGAAAGGATGTACAACCAACTGCTCTCACTTCGTTTTCCTTAGAAAAGAAGAGGTCAGATTTTCTGGATAGTAAAACTGGTATTTTGGGGTTTTTAAATTTCTGCCAGACTACCTTCTTTAGTTTCCCTTCAAACTATTTGTTGCTTGTTACATAAATAAGCAGGGTGTCAACGAATCTCAGGGATGCGTTTCCACCACCCCTGCATTAGTAACTTTTATAAGACGTGGGATGTTAAATATATTTTCCTCAGATGGGATAGCTTTTGACTCAAATATATTCAAAGACAGTATTGCTAAAATACCAGCTTTATAAAAAACGTCCCCCAGATGTCACAAAGCCTTGTTTCTATGGATTGCGAGAACTATTTTAACAGAATAGTGGCTTTAAGGAGAAAAAAAAAATCAATATTTATTGTTAGTCTTCTAAGAGTGTTAGATAATTTTACCTTTGCATGTTTACGCACACTGAGTTAAAAATAAGTAAATGGTTTTTGAGTGTTATTGTGAACAAAACAGGGAAAGGTGAGTCAACCCGAGGGGAAGCGCCCTTGGTGAGCGTGGATGGGGCTGTGTTACAGATGTGTGCACCCTTCCCGGCCATCCGGCGGCTCCCAGCCTGGCCAGGCTCACCTCACCCACCTCAGCAAAGGCCTGATGAGGAAGACGCCACATTCCAGCACGCCCAAGGTCAGTGTTAAACATGCCTAAGGAGTGAGTGCACGCGAAAACAAGGGTTTTGCTCGAGTGGGAATAGATCCTGGAGACCTCCCCCCGTGAAATGCTCAACCAGCACACTTTCTGAGGGGATGGCCTGGGCTGGAAGGAGGCTCTCAGTGCTCCCTGGAAGCCCTACTGGGTCCTTTTGGGGCAGGCGGTGTCCCCTGTGTGACATGGTGTGTGGTACGTTGAGAGCCATGATTCCCCCAGTCACCTAGACTGGCCAAATTCCCAGGAGGCCCACGGAGACTGCTACTCAAGCAGGTCTTTGAGGCTGGGCCCCTCCTGTGGCTTCAGAATGGGTTCAGGTGAGCTTCTTTGGCCCACTGTCACTCCCAGAGTATTTCTAAGAGTTACACGGAGCCCTCGGTTGGGCCCGTTGAGCTCCAGACCTGGGCGGTGCAAGTTCCATCACCCTGGTTTCAAAGAGCTGGATCCTTAATCCAAAGTACCTCCTGGCTCCCTACTGTCTTGTAACTTTCCTGCTACCCTGGTGAATTATTATGGGGGTTCATTCTCATATTTAGTTTCTCCCCTGAGTGCTTTTGATGTATCCATGAGAATTCTTGACTATTAAATTCATTCAACAAGAGTCCAGATTATTGCAGTGAACGGTGTTCGTGTCAAGAAGTGACTAAGGGTTTTTAAAATCGTTATCACATATTTAGTAGGCAATAAACTAGTTTACCTCCCTTGAGCTAAAGAGTGTAGAGGGTTGGGATCCAAAGATGAGGCAGACATTCCCGATAAGTGTTACCACCTTTCATCCCTAAACGTGGGACTACAACAAGGACAGCTTTATTTCTGAAAACCACATGAACAGGAAGTGGCCCAAACATCCATCAATAGGTGAAAGAATAAACAAACTTCGGTACATTTACACGATGGAACGCTACTCAGCAATAAGAAGGAATGAACTGTTGATATACACAACATCATGGATGAGCCTCGAAATAATTATGCCTCGTGAAAGAAGCCAGACCAAAAAATGAATACATACGCTGTGATTCCATTTATATAAAATTCTAGAAAATGCAAACTAATTCTAGAAAGCAAATCAATAGTGACAGGGAAGGGGACATGGGGAGCAGTGGGAGGAAGGACAGGAGCAAATCTCTGTGGGGTGGTTGACATGTTCATCATCTTGCGTATGTCATGGTTTCATGGGTGTGGAACATATGTCATAATTTACCAAGTTGTACATTTTAAACATGGGCAATTAATCACCTGTCACGTGTACCTCAATAAAGCTATTTGGGGGAAGAACGGAAGAAAAGAGGGCAGAAGGGAGGGGCAGGGGGCTTGAGGCACAGGCTTGTGCTGGGCTGTTCCCATCGGCCGCTGAAACCAGGGCGCTGCCCCGCAGGAGAAGACCCTCCAGCCGCAGGCGCTGAACCTCAGCCCGGGCTTCCCGAAGCCCCCATCCTCCTCCCCCGGGGGTTTTCCTGGGTTTTCATGAACGTTGTGCGCATTGAGCGATGTCTTCTTTTCCCAACTCCTTTGCAGTTCCCTTAAGAGATCGTCTGTCCTCATACGTGGCCCTTCCTCGGGTGCCTTGAACCTATTTGTTAATGAATTAAACCAGTTTTTTCAAATCCAAAGAGAAATGGATCGCTCTCAGATTGCTGGGGTAGGGGTGGGGGTGCTTCTGTTAGAATTTTGAAGTTTAAATAACTACTAATAGATCCCCTCTCGGGTAACTCCTTGATTCCTTGCTACTCCACCCACCTCCCCCTTTAGCTATAGCAGCACAGTCAGCACTGCTTTTTCCTGAAGGAATTACATACACTTTGGAACCCCTTTGTCATGGCTTTTTGCTTCGACCCTGCAGGATAATCCCAAGAGACTGCCGCAGTGTCAGAATGTGGACATCAGCCAGCCCCTCAAAGCCCTTGACCTCCCTCAGCCCAGTTGGCCTCAGCGAGTGCTCCCGCCCGTCCACCAGGCTCATCGGGCACCCAGCGTCCCTGCCAGACCTCTGCCAGCCAACCCTGCACTTAGGCAGCCCCAGGTAGGTCTTCTGCTGCTCATTTGATGGGTATAGTTCAAGTCCAGGCTCTACTACTTACTAATGCCTGAACTTGGACAAGTTGTTCAACATCTCAGTGCCTCTGTAAGCTCCTCAGGTGGTTAAATGAGGTCATTCATGAAAAGCATTTAGAACAGTGCTTGGTGTATAGTAATGGTGTAACTATTTTTTAGTTATTAGTAATATTTCTGTACTCAGACTAGTGAGGGTGCCCATGCAATTACCGTCCTAACCGTGACACTTTTGAGAATTGCAGGGGCACTGTTTTTTTTTCCTAAAGATTTTTATTGGGGAATTGGAGGAGGGGAACAGACAAGTTGCTGTCGTTTTGTTCTTCAGTCTAGTTGTGGAGGACGTTGCTTCACAGGCCCAAGTTGGCACCATCATTGAGCTCTTCCCGGGCGAGGCAGATCAGTCGCCGGCTTCTGGATGGCCGCTCACAGTGGCTGCTGGCCGCTCACGCTGGCTGGTGGCTACACACGGTAGCCCATGGCAACCTACTGCAGCAGGGGCTGCAGCCTACGCCGTCGCCAGTGACTCAGGGCAGCCCAGCTCCAGGTTGAGCTGTTGTTCAGCATCTTAGCTGTGGAGGGCAGTGTCACTGACCCTCATACGTGGGATCCGAACCGGGGCCCTCTGGCGTCCCAAGCCAGCTCTTAACCAACACACCACTCAGCCGGCCCCGCAGGGACACTGTTTTTTAATTTTTTTTTTTTGTTTTTTGTTTTTTTTACTTTAAAAAAATATTTTTTATTTTTTAATTACATTTGACATACAGTATTATATTAGTTTCAGGTGTGCAACATAGTGCTTAGATGGTAAGTCTACACTGTTAATAATTAGGCCTGGACAATAAAACAGAGATGGGCACTTTGGGAGTGATGACAGGCATAGTTTCTTACTGTTTTTCAGTTTCAAACTATTTGCAAACATTTTACAACCTGTTGGGTTTCTCCATACGAGACGCGGCACTCTATTAGATGCTTTGCGTATATATGTCATCTCATTTTCATGCTGTTTTTGGAAGTCCCAGTTTCTGTCTGTTATGACCATGAGCATGATGTCCTTTCACAATAGCAAACTTGACGGGGAGGGAAAGGTAAAAACAAGCAAATGAAAAGCACAAAGAGATAATCACTGGTCATTTTTTTTTATGACTATCATTGCTATGTTTTCTTCTAGTAATTTTTATATACATACAATTACATGTGTATTCTTAGCATAATTTAGATTATTCTGTATGTACATTGCTTTATATACTTTTTGCCTTGAAATCGTTCCCATTTACCATGGGATTAAAAATTCTTAAAAGTGTTACCTTCACGATAGCGCAGTACATGTGTATGGAATACTTGTTTAACCACTAGCCAATTAGCAGGCACATTTGGATGATTCTAATTTTGGCTATTATACACAGGTCTGTTATGAAGGACTAAACAGATAAATTTTGGACCACTTTGATTCCCTTAAGAAAGATTCCTAAAAGTGAAAATATGTACAACCATTTTAAGCCTCTTAATACATAAACTAAATTTTTTTTTTCAGGACTGTTACATACATTTATGTTCCCATGTTATTATAGAGCATCTGTCTCATGTACTATTAACATTTCAGACCTCTGCCAATTTGACACACAAAACAAAATCTCAGTTTGGTTTGGTTTGGTTTCCTGTCTAATGGTTCAGTTGGTTACTGAAAGGGGATGTTGAAGTTTCCAACTATATTATCTGCCTCCTTTTAGTTAATCAGTTTTTGCTTCATGTGTTTTGAAGCTCTGTTGTTTGTGACACACACAATTAGATTGTTGTGTCTTCTTGGTAAATTGACGCTTTCATCATTATGTGCTGTCCCTCTTTAGCTCTGGTACTTAACTTTCTCCTAAAATATACTTTATCTCATATTAACATATCCACTTCCATTTTCTTTTGACTAACATTTGCAATATATGGCTTTTTCCATCTTTTCATTTTTAATCTACCTATGTCATTTTATTTGAAATGAGTTTTTCAGAGACAGAATATGGTTGGGTCATATATTTTTTCATCATTCTGTCAGTCAGTGTGTTTAGACCATTTGCATTTAATGCAATTATTGATATGTTAGAGTTTATGTCTATTATTTTAATATTGTATTTGTTCCCCTGTTTTGTTTTATTATGCGCTTCTCTGAATCCCTACGGGTTAGTTGCAAAGTTTTTAGTATTCCATGTTGATTTATCTACAGCGTTTTTTAGTGTATGTCTTTATGTAGTTTTTTGTATGGTTATTCTAGGGCAGGGTTTCTCAACCTCAGCATTATTCACATTTTGGATGGGATAAATCTTTGTTGTGTGGGACTGTCCTGTTGTATCATAGAATGTTTAGCAACACCTTGGTTTCTACCAACTAGATCACATGAGTAATCATGTTTCCAAACATTTTCAGATATCCCCCAGGGGACAAAATCACCCCTGATTAAAAACTGCTGCTGTACAGATTACAATATACCAGGGGTGCCAAAAAAATGTACACAAGTGGACACTTTGGTCAATGTTGCTCAAGCAGTTGTTCGCTGTAATCAGAAGTGTCTGGACACTGATTGTAACCACTTAGAGGACCTCTTGTAATTGCAGAAGCCAAACGTGACTTGTATTCAGCTTTTGTTATCCGTATATAATGAGTATTACAAATTTAATAGTTTTTTTTCCTTTCTTAAAATGTATATACATTTTTTTGGCACCCTGTGTATATGGATATTTATCACAGTCTACTAGTATCAATATTTTATCACTTCAGGTGGAATGTGAAAACTTTACCACCTTTTAGGTTCCTTTTTCATTCTCCCTTTATGATATAGGTTCTTAAATATTACCATTTTGTACCCTGAGCACCACTTCAGAGGTTGTCAGTTTTGTTTTCAACCATCAAACATAACTTTTAAAACTTAAGAAGAATAGTCCACCACATCTACTCATTCATTCACCCTTTTTATTCTTTCTTCGCTCCTGCTATTCCAGGTTTCTTTCTGCTATTTCCTCTTTGTCTGAAAAGCTTCCTTTAGCTATGCTGGTAAAGCAGGTCTTCTGGCAATAAATTCTCTTCATTTTTCGTCATCTGAAAATGTCTTTATTTCACCTTTATTTCTGAAGGATCTTTTTCACTGGATGTAGAATTCTGGGTTGACTGTTTTCTTCTTTCAACATTTGAAAACGTTCCATTTCCTTCTGGCCCCCATGGTGATGAGAAATCTACTGGAAGTTCTGCCCACAGTGTCTGTTCCCGGGAGAGGATGTGGCCTGTGTCACAACAGGGAGGGCAAGCGGGACTGTTTCCTCTCCAGGCTGCGGTGCCCAGTGAGGAGGAGCAGGGATGTGGCTTTTTCCTGGTGGCTTTTACCTGGAGGTAGAGTAAGGTCACGTATGGTCAAACATTTCTCATCTACTGGGTGACCCTTTTCCTGGTCTTATGGCTGCAGATACCAAGCTTTCCTTGGGCCTTTTTGGTTTTGTCTGATGGCATTGTCATTTCCAGATTGGGGCGGTGGGGGAGGGGGGTGTGCCTCTCCAAAGCCCAGGCCGAGGTATAGAAAAGGCCAAAATGAAAACCATGAACTAACTACGGGGGAGTTCCTGGAATTCTGAGGTCCCTTATCAGCCTACTTACTTTTCACAAACTTCCAGAGCCTCTGTCAGTTGCTTTACAAATTTTCTCCGGATTTTCTTGCCGTAATTAGCAGGAGGAATAGGGTAAAATTTTCTTGTTCCACCATGACAGACCTTATTTCTTTTTGCATTTCCTTGATTACTGCTATCCTTAAGCTGTTTCTTATATATCTGTTAATCCATGGTGTGCTGGTAAACTAGCTGTCAAAAAACTTTTTTCTAAGCCCTGATTTATAGATGATTTCTCTACTATAAAAACTCCCACCAGTGGCCAATTTCAAGCTCTTAATGTGACGTCACTGGACAAGGAGTAGAGGATGGACTGACATGAGCTAGGGCCATGCTGCCCAGCGCACAGCTGCCGTCTAGTAGTCCTGTGGACGACTGAGTCTGTTCCTACCCTTTGCCAATTTTCTTCAATTTGTGAGATAGAGTTTTCTTCCTGGTTTGTAAGAGTTTATTTTCTTTAATAGATTAATAATATCTATGCTTTTACAGTAATTTATTGTAAACCTGTTCCCTCATTTGTCTTTAATTTTATTGGTGATATTTTGGACAGAGCAGGAATTCCAGTTTTGAGTATTTAATCTATTATCTCTTGTGAATTCCCCCATTGCTTTTGTGCTTACAAAGTCCCCTCCCATTTCGGTATCCGTGAACACCCACCCGTAATTTCTTCTGTTTATTTTGTTGGCTAGTGACAGTTCTTTTGCATTTGTGTTTCTAAACCTAGCTTGGTGGAAGGCAGTGGGCACCTCATAAACTTTCTTGGATTATGGACTTATTTGAGAATCTGATGAAAGCTGTGAACCCTCAGAAAATGTGCCCATGCTCATATTTTGCACGCACGTTTCAGATACCCACAGAGACTGTAAGCCCCTTCCCCGTGGTGTCCCTTATCCTGAGCTTTCTTGTGTCTTCCTTTAAGCAACTTGTACCGTGTCGAGCTGGGACTGCCCCTGACAGGCTGTGTGATCCGAGGCAAGACATTTCTACTTGCTGGTGCCTTTTTTCCCACCAGCAGTGAATGCCTACAGAAGTGACTCCTTCAAGATTTCTTTTAAAGCAAGCCCTCAAAAAAATCTTCGTTCTGTTTTATGAAACTAAGGAAATGTTACCCTTTAAACATTAGTAACTGAAAAATCCATATTTCTCACTCCAGGCTGGTGTCTGTCTGGAGCTTTTCCGAGACATCTGATGTAGATTAAGCTCACGCTGTCTCCCCCATTGCACACAGGGAACTGGAATTAATTCCCTGCAGGTGTGGCGAATATTTGGAGGTGGCTCTCACTCGGCAGCACTGACATTTTGTCCTTTACAGCCCCCGCCCTGTGCCCTGCCC